ATCCCCTCTCTTCCTTCTTTTAGATCTAGGGTTTTCTTTATTTCCTGCTTATTTTATCCTGGTATGAAATTATACATTCTACTTTGATTCTTTTGATACCCTCGATTTAAACATTTTTTGTGATATTGAGGATTGAACCCAGGGCTTTTGCCCCAAGTTATGACCCCAGACCATTTTTATACTATTTTATTTTGCGACAGGGTCTCACTAAGTCATTAAGTTGCCCAGACTGGGGTGGAGCTTGAGATCTTCCTGCCTCAGCCTCCCAAAGTGCTGGGATTCTATAATCCTACCTAATAGCCTAGCTTAGCAAAACAACACAACCCACTGTAAGGTATTATGATTGTGTGGCTAACTGGGTGCTGTGGCGCACTGCCACTGTCCATGTACTACCCAGTTTAAATTTCTGTATTGAGTTATAACAAACATGAAATAAAGTGCCCAACTTGATGCATCTTTATATATGTATACACTCTAGTAATCCCCATCAGATCAGAACGTTTCCACCATCTCAGAGGTCTCCCTTCTAGTCAATACCTCCCTGCTCCAGGTAGCTACTATTCTGACCTCTGCTGCCAAAAATGATTTTGTCTATCTTTTTTCTTTAACAGCTTTATTTGAGATATAGTTCAGAGACCACAAAATCCACTCGTTTGAGTTGTACAGTGTGCGGGCCGGGGATCTAGCTCAGTGGTGCCACCGCCTGCCTCACAAGCACGAGGTCCCGAGTTCGATCTCAGGTACCAAAGAAAAAAGAAAAGATAAAGTGTACAATGTGATGACTTTTCAAATATTCATAAAGTTGTAAATTTTAGAATATTTTCACCCCCTAAAAAACCCCACAGCAAAAAATCTCATCTCTCCACAGCTTCCTGTATCCCCTGAAACCACTAATCCACTTCCTATCTCTAGGACAGTTTGCACGTGCTTTGTTTTCAGCTTCCACTTAACATGTTTCTGAGGTCCATACGTGCTGCGGTGCAGCCACTACTTCACTCCACTCTGTGGCGGAACAGCGTTCTGTTGTGTGGATGGATATTCCACGTTTTGTTTATCCGTTCGTCAGTTGATGGACATTAATCAGGGCTGTGCCCATTTTTTAGCTATTATGAATAATGCTGCTATGAGCTTTCATATACAAGTTTTATCTGTTTTAGAATTTCATACGAATAGAACTATTCAGGGCCTCCTCTTTTTTTTGTCTGACTTCCTTCCCGTTGATATTGTGTCTGCGACAGTCAGCATTGCTGCATGGTATTATGTTATATGACCGTGCCACAATTTACATCCATCCTGCTGTTTATGGGCATTTGGATTCTTCCAAGTTTTCATCTACTTTCCGTAAAGTTGCTCTTACCCTTATTTTTTTTTATTTTGCTGTACTGGTGACCGCAGGCAGCGAAACTACTGAGCTAAATCCCTGGCCTTCTTACCCTTATTTTTTTATTTTTTTTTGGTACCGGAGATTGAACTCGGGTCCTTGCGCTTGCAAGGCAGGCCACCGAACCGCTGAGCTAAATCCCCGGCCTTCTTACCCTTAATTTCATCATGTACTTACCGAAGTCTCAAACTGATCAGTACTTTTCAGTCTGGCCTGAGATTTCCCTCTCAAAGTCACTGGGTGAGATTCAAATCCAAGGCACTGCCCGGGGCACCAAGTTTACGAGTGCAGAGGAGACACTGGGCTAGAGCTCCGCCTTCACAGGTCTTCAGGTCTTTGCGCTCAGCACTCGCACCCCACCCATGTGGACACACCGGCCTGCTGCGCAGCCCTCCCTACCTTCCCGAGCAGTGTACTCATTGTCCTCGATGACCCGGGCCAAGCCGAAGTCAGCAATCTTACACACCAGTGATGCAGAGACCAAGATGTTGGCGGCTCGGAGGTCTCGATGAATGTAGTTCCTCTGCTCGATGAAGGCCATGCCTTCTGCAATCTGTACCCAAAACAGAGACACCCTCATCCTCAGACCTGCCTGGCCCACGCGGTTTCCACCCAACAGCTGGAGAGGAATGACCCAGTGGGAGAGAACTAGAAAATGTCCGCACCAGCTCCTTTTTTGTCACAAGAGTCCTGGGGTCAGGCTGGCATTTCTGTCTACCTATCTAGGCTCAGGGGATTCTCCAGACTTGGCTCAGTTTGGGGAGTTCTCCATAACTCCAAAACTTCCAGAGAATACTTTGAAATGTCCTCAAAGAAAAAGCAATGGGATTATCTCTCTGGAACACACACACACACACACACACACACACACACACACACACTGCACACATCAGGATATTATGAAGAACATTCATCCACAGCCCCTTTCAGGGACAAGCTAGACTCATGTCATATTCTGCTCTATTTTTTACGCCTTCATCCCCACGCCTGCCTAAAATAATTTTTTTCACTTATTCATTCAACAAAAAAAAACTATGGAGTATCCTGGGGGTGCCTGACATGTGACTTGAGCAGGAGGTAATCCAGACAAAGCCTGTGCAGGGAGAGATAAGTACTATACAGATAGAAGAGATGGGTCTGGGCAAGAGGACAAGAAGTGTAGAGGAGAAGTCATTATGGTCTCTGTTTAACAGAGAGTCAGAGATACTATTCCTGACCACATGCCAGGAAAACTCTGAATGTCCGCCTCACACCTTGGTTCTAGATTACTGATCTAGTGCCCCACTCTGCCTGTAAAGTTTCCAGAACGCCAGTTCTGGAGGGCAGCAGGTGGGTGCAATCTGGTAAGATTCATTGGGCAGACTAGGGCAGAAAAGTCTGGACAGACCAAACCAAGGCACTGCCAGCAGGCAGTGGCCAATGGGTGGCACACTTGCAGAGTGAACAGCAGGGGGCACCCAAGGCAGCAAGAACAGGTCTACACTTAAAAATTTGAAAATGACTTTAGCTTCTTTATATATGGGGCATGGGATGAGGCAGGGTCTCTAGGGAGTGTGGGAAAGTTGCAAGGTGTCCTTAGACCAAGAACCAGCAAAACTTATTAGGCTGTTGGTAGATAATGTTGTTTGCTTATTATGTTACTTAAACACAGCATTTATTGTGCTTTGGGGCAGGTACTTTTACTATCAGTCCTCTTTCCAGAGAGGAGAAAAACAAAGCCCAGAGAAACAAATAACTGTCCCATAAAAACACAGCTTTTAACCTGTAATCCACAGTCCTCTCAGAACCAACACTTATGTATTTACTCTCCTTTTTTTTCCCCTCCCCCAGTACAGGGATTGAACCCAGGTCACTCTGCTGCTGAACCACATGCAAAGCTTTTTACATTTTTTTGTTTTGAGACAAGTTGCCCAGACCAGCCTTGAACTTGTTTTTTGTTGTTGTTGTTTCTTCTTCTTTTTTTTTTTTTTTTTTTTTTTTTTTGAGACAGGGTCTCACTGTGTAGTTGACACTGACCTGGAACTCACTATGTAGCCCAGGCTGGTCTCGAACTCATAGTGATCCTCCTGCCTCAGCCTCCCGAGTGCTGGGTTTACAGGTGTGCGCCACCACGCCCGGCTGCAGCCTTGAACTTGGCAATCCTCCTGCCCCAGCCTCCAGAGAAGCTGAGTGTATAGGCACGCACCGTTGTCTCCAGCTTGCCTCGTGTTATTTTACGGAGCAGACACTAATTCCGACAGTCATTCTTTTTTAATACGCCCTAGTCCATGCTCCTCTAGTACTGGTTTTCTCCTGATCTCAGTGGGGCAGGAATTATCACCCCTACTGAGGACTCAGGAGAGGATCATGAGTAATGGCTCTGCACCTACTTCACCACCTGTACCTCACTGTTCTCTGGACCGGGGACAGCAGTAGCCCCTGTCTCAAGGGGTCATGTGAAGATGAACCCTCGAGGCCCACATCAAAGTCTTCAGACAGTGTCTGCTGTACAGTACTCACACTGGCGGTGGCCAGCATTGCTCCCAGCAGGGAGAGCCACACGCTGCAGGGTTCAGCACCTTGTTCCAAGCCCCACAGGCAGAGCTGGGAGCAACACAAAACCTAGGCCCATACGCTTACAGAGTGCTGCTTCTCCAAGATTTGTCCATGGAATGGGTAATGGGTAGGTTTACAGGACGCAGGGTGGGTCTAAAAACTGAGGCTGATGAAGGTGGGAAGAGCTCATGACCACCAAGCAGGTTGCCCTGAGGGCAAGCTCTAGAGCTTGGTTGGCTTCCAAGAGCATCAGAGAACCTCAGAATCCAAGCTGGCAGGACTTGTAAAGATATCCCAGCCCAGGGCTCTTCAAACTGGGTGTTACCGATACTTCCATATTGACTGGGAGGACAAAGGGAAGGCCGTGTATGAAGCCCTACTCTGCCTCAGTCAGAATGATTCAGCACTGGGGATCAAACACAGGGACTTCATACTGAGCTATATATCCCCAGGGCTTGTTACATTTTATTTTGAGACAGTGTCTCACTAAATCACAAATTTGCCAGGCTCTGTTAGAACTTGAGATCCTTCTGCCTCAGCTTCCTAGAGTGCTGGGATTATAGGTGTGTCGTGATGCCAGATTCTTATATATATATTATAAAATATATAATTGTATATTATATATAATATATATAATGGCTACAGTTGACCAACAGAGTTGTGGCTAAAATACTATTTTTAAACTGGAAAACTACAGCTGTGGTCTGATTCCCTTATTGCACAAATGGGGGGACTGAGACTAAGAAGGTGTCGGATTAAGAGAAAGTTGAAGACGGGACTAGGGCATCCTTGTGCCACACCGTCCTCTCTAGGCCTGGAGGTGAAGATCACGTCTCCAGGTAGGTTCCTTTCTGTCCCTAGGCTTAGGGTCAACCTTTGCTTCTGAAAGCCCCAGAGCCACTTTCCCTCCCTTGGTTGGTTTCCCTGTCTGTGCAATGGGAGAATGGTTCAAGCTGTAGCCCGTGACTCCTATCCGGCAAGCTTCCTGCTGGTTAGATGCTTATAATTTAGCAATGGGCCAGACTACTATTTCCAAAGGGCCCATTGGAGTGAGACCACTGGTCTTGATTTCCATATGCTTTCAGCATTCCAGACTCTGAAAGTAGAGCCCTTTGTCAGTCTTTGTCCATAGCCTCTGAGCCCTTGATTTGCATATGCAAACGAGCACAGTCCTGGGCAGTTCCAGAATGCCCAGCCTCAGCTCCCACCAGGCTGCTAAGTCAGCTGTGTCACCTCAAGTTTCCGCCTGACCAGCCCAGGTCTTCGGTTTCTCCTTTGGGCTCCTATACAGGCCATTTCTTCCTCTAGTAACCCTTCCCTCTTGTCTTCATCTGCAGACCTTCTACTCGTCCTTCAGGGTTCAGCCTAGAGGCCACTTCCCCTGGGAAGCCTCCTCTGATGCTTCTGGGCCATAGGACCCCCGTTGCTTGTACTCCTGTGTACCCCCTGTCCTTCCCCACACAGGAGAGAACATGGGACAGCACCGAAGTGAAAACATTCAGTCTGAGGATGAGAGGAGCTGCAGGAAGGGAGGAGAAGATGAGGGAGAAATCCTTTTGGGTAGTATGTGGGATGGAGCCCAGGGCCTCACACATGGTGGGCAACTGCTTTGCCACTGAGCTATACCCCTAGGCCCACAGTGGGTTTTAAGGTGTGTTTCTCTGTGATTCTCAGACACTATTTTCTTTCTGGATATTGTGCTCCTTTGATTCTGAGCCAGGGCCACTTGGTTGATAATGATTCAGCAGTGTCAGCTCTTTAGCACCTGTTGTGCTACCTGGATGGCAAACTCTTCGAGGACAGTAATGCTTCTGTTTCACTCACTGCTGCTTTCCCATAGTTAGCACAGCAAGTCAGCCAAGCTACTTAGCCTCACTGGGCCTCAGTTTCCTCATCTGTTCTTAACTTCACTGTGCCTCCATTTCCTATTCTGGGGAAAATGGGATGGCAGTTAACTTCCTCTGGTCAGACTCTTATATGGGGGCACCTGCTGAGTTGCAGCTCCCCAGATTCATGTCCTGGGGCTGTCCATTCCCACACTGATGCTGGGCTTGGCCATCTGACTTTCTCTGCTCAATAGGACATCAGTAAGCGTGATGCCAACAGAAGCAAAGTTCTTGCATATCAAGGCCTGGCTCCCTGACACAGTTCTTCTCTGTGCAGTGCTATAAGAACAGCTGCTGTCTACTGAGGGATGAAGGCCTCATGGAGCAAGATCCTGGAGGATAAGGCAGCACCGCAGAATGTTTCCAGTCACCTCCCGTCACCACGAGGTTCACCCAACCAGGTGCAGTCAATGCACGGGAGCATGAGAAATGCTCCTTGTTGTCTGTTCAGCTAAGCCATGGGGTAGATTGTCATCCAAGAATGGGTAACGAAGTCCCACTGTAGAAGGTCGATGTGGATGTTAAACAAGTCAGTGCGTGCGAAGATCTGGGGGGTCCTCCATATGTGTGGGATCTCCATCCGCAGACTCAGAGAACAAACATTCAAAACACGATTGCATCTGAATGGAACCTGTCCAGACCTTTTCCTTGTCATCATTCAGTAACAATATGGACAACAGCTATTTACATGGTATTTACATTGGATTAGGCAAGGTAAGTCATCTAGAGATGACTTAAAGTATATGGAAGGGTATGTGTAGGTTACATGCAAATGCTACACCATTTCATATAAAGGACTTGAATGCTCTGGGTTTTTGGTATCCATGGAACCCACCCCTATGGAACTGAGGAACAACTAGACATACAGGAAGTACAGTTTTATGCTGAGCAATCAATAAATGCTCTTTTAATTACTGCTATTATTATAGTACGTGGCCAACAACCATGTGTTAAGTAAGTTGCTGAATTACCGTACCGGTCCCCTAGCCTCCTCATCAAACTCTCACCTGGGCAGAGAAGTCAATCAGTTTTGGCAAAGGCTGCTCTCTGCCTTCTTCACCTTTTAAAAAGTCCAGCAGGCTTCCTGTATGGAGGAGGGAGAGACAGAGATCTTAATAATTTAGCATCTTTTCATAAAAATGTATTTTTGTTTTGTTTAGTTTTTGAGAAGGAGCCCCACTATGTTCTCTAGGCTTATCTCAGACTCCCAGGCTCAGAAGATCTCCCTGCCTCAGCCTTCCAAATATTTGGGACTATACGTGCCCACACCATGGCCAGCCACAGCACTGGATTTAAATAAACATATTTGCTGACCGTTCCTGGTACCTGAGAACTAGGACCTCAGGTTTTTGAAAGAACTTTCTCATTTTGATGGCTTTCTGAGCCCAGGGGCTTAGGGCCGTGACTTCATAAGCTGGCACACTGTACATTTAGAAAATGGAGTTTTGTGATTGCAAATAACAGTGAGCCTGTGTGAGATGTTTCTGTTTATCAGTCAAAGGCAGAGATTGAAAATGGTTATGAAAAGTAGCCTGAAAAGGAAACCTCTGAGACATTTTGATTTTTGCGAGGGTGGGGCGGCCCAGTGCTCTTTGGCCCACTCTTTCCCAGTGTACCAGGCCTACAGGGCAGGGGGCTCAGTGGTGGCAGTGGGCAGGACCCTGGCTCTGAGGCCCACCGGGAGCCCGTGAGGAACCCTGTGCCTCTCCTCTCCCCACCCAGGCCCCTCTGGCCCCGCTCTCCTCTCCTTTCTTAGGTGACCCCCTCCCATGGCGTCACCCCACGACATGGGCCCAACGCACGCACCTTTGGCCATGAACTCTGTGACGATGTAGATGGGCTCCTGCGTGACCACTGCGTGCAGCTTCACCAGCTTGTCGTGCTGCAGTGTCTTCATGATGTTGGCCTCCTCTAGGAAGGCCTCCACTGACATGCTGCCCGGCTTCATCGTCTTCACTGCCACCTTGGTGTGCTGGTTGTAGGTGGCTGGAGAAGATGGAGCAAGGGAGGTGGTGAGGTTCCGCCGGCCTCCCCCGGCCCTGGAAATCCAGCTGCACACCTGCCTCTCACAAAGAGCCCTCCTGCCTTAGAGAGGGAGCCACAGACAGGGGTCTCCAACAGATGTGGGGTGGACAGCTGGTCCCATACTTCCCAGCTGTGTGTACTTTGGCAAGTCACTTAACCTCTCTGAGCCAGGAGTCTGCATCTGCGTAGAGGAAATGATAAGCACTCCCTTGAAGGGAAGATGCAAGACTGAAGAACAACCTTAACACGCCACTTAGGTTATGTCACACACACACACACACACACACACACACACACACACGCACGCACGCACACCCTATATCTTTAATACTGTTCTTGAAAGAAATGCAGACTCACTGTTCCTCCCCAAGGCCCTGCATCAGCACTCCGGCCTCATCATCTGCCAAACCCACCCATGCCTTTTAGGCACTATCACCCTGAATGTCACTCAGTCCCTCAAGCACCTAATCCTGTGCCACTACTGGGACCTGCCCCCCCCATCCCGAGGTTTGTCTTATGGATCTTGTCAGCCTCACAACTGCTTCAGTTCTCATCCAAGCCTTGGTTCCCAGGAAGCTCTAACCCAGACCTGTGGTCTTCCTGCAGTAAGAATCTAGGGCCTTTTATGACAGCTTTGGTTTTCCCCAACCTCACAACCCACCTCTACCTTCTTCTCCATATTTTCTTTTTGCCTCATTCTTGTGTTCAGTGCCTGGCACACAGCAGGCACTCAATGAGTGGATTCTAAGCTTACGTTCTCTGGCTGAGTATCTGCATCCCTGCAAGCTACCGGGCACATGGTGGAGTGTCAATATAGTGGCACTGTGTCTACCCACCATCCCATGAAGCAAATGCTGCTGCTCTCAGTTACTGAAGCAAGGACAGCAGGAGAAGAACATGCCTTTCTGGTACCCCTACAATGTCTGGATGGTGCTGGGCTCAGAGTCATGACGGGCTCAGAGTAGCTTGGTCCTCAGGTGCCACCACTGAACTCACCTGACACGGTCTCCAAGCCCCACTGTTAATTCCCATTTCCCCCAAAGGCCTCTGGTTATGCCAGTCCCACTCTAGTAGACTGTCCCAACTCCATACAAGGGAGGGGATTCCTCATCCAGGACTCCTGATTCCTAGAAGGAAGTTCTGGGCCAGACCCAAGCTTCCTGGCCACAAAGGCAAATCAGTGTTTGCACAGCAGGACAATTTGCTTTGTTCTGGAGGAATTGCCCCTTTGTGGTTATTATTCAAATCCCCCCTGCAGCCCGGTGGCATTCCCACTTGGTCTCAGGGTGTTCCTGGAAGCAGATAACCTCCCTTTCCCCTCTCAACCTCCCTCCTCCCCAGTCCCTGGGTCCTTACCCATCCAGACTTCCCCAAACTGCCCAGCTCCAAGTCTCTTCTCCAGCTTGAGGGATTCCCGGGGGATCTCCCAGGCATCTTTCTCCCATGGCTTCTGGGGCTTGGAGGACACACAGGGAAATGACAGCTTCTGGCACAGCCCGTCCTTCCCCTCTGGAACAGAGTCCCTGGGTCAGTTATGGGCAACAAGCTCCAAGCAAGCCAGAGGCCTCTTGTCTGGTACTCTGCATCTGGCCAAATTCTCTGTGCTTGCTACCCCTGGGGACATATGCAAGACAGCAGAACATGATAGGATGGCACCTCTGTATCTATCTTGGCCACCTCCACCCTTCTGCTCAACAATTCCAAGCCTTCAGGAGAATCCAAAGCAGCTGACAGTGGAGAGTCAGGAAGCAATCTGTAGGCCTTAGGGGCTGCAGTCACCTGTGACCAGGGTTCCCAGGGACAGGCCCATCCTTGTGGGGATGTGTGGGCTGCGGGACACAGCTCAGTGGGCGAGTGGCTTGCCCTCTAGGCCCTGGGTTCAACCCCAGCACCTCAAAACAAACAAACAAAAGAGCAAAGCAAAGTAAATAAAGGTGTTGAAGACTAAAAGCAATGGGGTAGTATCCTTGTCCCTGCCCAGGCAGTACTGCACAGTGAGTTTCGATTCTGGGGTGGATAAGTAGGATGTGGCCCTGGGCAGGACTCACTCTTGTAGTGGGCCACCAGCTCCTGCAGGCTGCTGAAGGTGCTCCTTGGGGAGACGTAGAAGCCCCCATTGTCCAGGGTCCGGATCTTGTAGTGCTTCACTGTGTCTCCTTGCTGGGGGTCGTAGTCTCGAATAGACAAAGAGTAGCTCCCTGCACTCACAAGAGAGAAGCCCCTCAGAATGACACCTTAGACCCCTCCAGCTTGTGTCAGCCCTGGCCCCCAAGAGGCCCTTGCTGCCACCATCCAGGCACCAGGGCAGGAGAACACGAGAGGAAGAGTGAGGTGTGGCATCAGGAGCCTGGATTCTGTCCTGGCTTTGTCATTTCCAGCTGTGAGAATTGGGGCCAATGACTACATTGCCCCCCTGTGCCTCAGTTTCCTCATCTCTGAAGTGGGCATCATCATGCCTCCCTACCTCATCACAATGCTCGACGATCAGAAGAAATAATGTTTGAGAAGGACTTGGAACAAACACTTAGCAAATGTTGCCTGACTCATCATCTTCATAATTATTTTTCCATCTAGCCACAGTATCTCTCTAATAAATAAAAAAGACAAACAGTAAAGAAAACTCGGACCAACTACTGGAACGTGAACACATTGTTGTAAACTGAATAATAGGTGTCCGTACCCAAGCCCTGATTCCTGGGAATGTTAATTTACGTGGTAAAGGGGACTTTAAGGACCTGGAGTTGAAGTTATCCTGGATTATCTGGGTAACCCCAATGTAATCACCTGGACCCTTGTGAGAAGGAGGCAAGGTCAAAGTTGGCAGTAGGAGATGTGAAGATGGAAAGGAAGGGTTAGAAAGATGTCGGGAAAGGCTGTGAGCCAAGAAATGCTGTGAGCTTTAGAAAAGGCACCACACTTGTAGTGATTTGTTACAGCAACAACAGGAACACACGTGATCATGTAGATAAACACATGAGCCTTTTGGTCTACAACCACAGTTCGCCATTTGAGGCCGTGTGCCCTTCGACCTGTCATTAGCCTCTCCATCATACATTCATCTCTGCACGGTAGCTTACAATGCCATAGAATCGGGGGGCGGGATTCAAATCACTGAGTGAATAATATCTGACCATACATGCCAGACACTACTGTATTCCAGATGCTCTCTATGAAAGAATAGGAATATTTATTATAATAAATTATGATCATGTGAAGTTTTACAATGAATCCATGACCCCCGAAATGGAAGCTTTATAACGTTACTATGCTCATTTTTCTTATCTATTCTTGAGACAGAGTCTCCCTGTTCTAGTCCAAGCTGGCCTTGAACTCATTATGTAGCCCAGCTGGCCTGGAACTCACAGCAATCCTCCTACCTGGGCCCCATCAGTCCTGAGATTACAGGTGTGCACCACCATGCCCAGCCTGACCACCCACATTTTATAGATGCAGTGACTGATGACCAGAGAGGTGAAGTGACTCTCTTCTAGTTATACGGCTAGGCAGTGGCACAGCCACTCTGTCCAACTCAAGGTGAGGCTGCCTCGGCTGATGCCCAGTGGGGTGGGTAGAATCCAAGAAGTGGTAGGATGGGATTCAGGGACAAGTTTGACTAAACTGGCTAAGCCTGCACCACAGCTGCACAGTGTAGGGCCG